AAAGTCTTGCTCTTTAGCTCAACAACAGACTAAAGGCTTTCAGGCAATAGTTTCCAAAGTGGCCAGCTCTTTTTGTATGTCTACCGATGTGCCTGGGTTCAGGATTCCTGAAAACAGAATTCCTGTTCAACAAGTGGCGCCCCTAAAAGATGCCAGGACAGTGAAGACCCCTTCTCCTTCGGTTTCACCTCGTCTTCAACACGGGGCTCTAAACAGAGCAGGATCTAAAGAGACACAGTTATGCAGTGTCCAAGCTAGTGCTTCACACGATACCACACCAAACACAACCTCCATCACAGCAGTTTCAAATGCAGTTTGTACTGAGCCTGAGAAACCTACAGACCCGAAACAGGAGCTGAAGACTGTGTGCATCCGTGACTCGCAGTCAATCCTGGTAACAACTAGATGTGGCAACACGGGCATTGTCAAGGTCCAGACATCCTCGGACCAAAACACCCTTGGCTCTGTACATACCAGTCCAGTCATCACTATCTCGCCTCAGTTTAAAGCCTTCCTTCTGTCCAAGGCCACACAGTCTACTTCTGCTCCCACTCAGACCGCACCTTCTGTTGTCCAAGCAATGACAATTTCCCAACCCCAGCAGCAGATCCATCCTGTGTTAAAAACCCCTTCCTCTCTCAAAAATACCATGCTCACTGCAACCACTGGTAGTGGTATAACATGCCCAAAAAGTCAAACTACAGCCAGTGCTGTTGCTGTAAGTCAGGGCCTCAGTAGCTCAACTGGTTCTACAGTTGTGACAAACATTTCTCAGCCAGTCCACACACCTGCTGCTGGTTCTCATTTTCAAGCTTCAGTAGCTAATAGCAGTGTTGCCGTGCCACTACAAAGTGGCTCAGGGTTTTCCCAAGCAGCCACCAGCAAGACTGGTATGAAATGCACCACTACAGATGAAGGATCCCAAGTTACCAAATTCATCCTGGTTACTCCATCTTCATCCTCATCCTCAAATGTAGCTGCATCCAAAGGGACACCCTCCTCCCCAAAGCCAGGTCCTAGTTCAAGACTCATGTTTGTCACTCAGCCCGCATTGACATCATCAGCCACCGTCATTGGAAGCCTTTCTGCACCGGCGATGGCAACATGTGCAAGTGGACAGGGAGCAACCACTTCATTATCAAGTCAGACTCTGAAGGTGGGATTAAGACCAGGAAAACCTGCTAGAAATATCAGCTTGGAGCCATTGTCCAAGGGCAAAAACATCACCCTGCCCCAAGGTGAGTTTTTGCTTTTTTATTATTATTATTATTTGTTGTTTGTCTTGGGTTGGCTCAATTTTGAAAACTTTGTAAAGTTTATGTGTATAACATGTATCTCATAGTGGGAGAAATGCCACACTATCCAATGTTGGCATATAAGTAAATCGAATGTAGCAGAGCAGGTGAAGCTTTTTAAGCAGTGAAGTTGGTGAACAGGGATCTGCTCTGAACCCCTTCTTGGTTGCAGTGGTGATAGACAGATTAACTTGAGGTCATGGTTTGGACATGTGCAAAGGAGGGATAGTGGATTTACTGGACGAAGGATGTTCAAGATTGAGTTGCCATGTGGACAGGAGAAAAAAAGGAAGACCACAGAGAAGGTTCATGTATGCAGTGAAGAAGGGCACGGAGAGGGTTGATTTGAAAGAATGGGAAGAAGATAATTCGTTATGGCAGCCTTAAAAGGATGCAGGCAAAAGAAGAAGAGAAGATGGTTTGATAAATGACTTACCTGTGATTTTGATAGTGATTACAGGAATGTGTGCTGCTCTTGTCTTCTCTAGAAAGCATTATCTTGCAGAACAACTGAGGACAACACGTCTTGGTCATGCTGCCTACTTACTCAGTGTGTGTGTGTGAGTGTGTGAGTGAGTGAGTGAGAGAGAGAGAGCATAGCTATATGATGATGTCATCTTCACAGTTGGTTTGGCTTGGAAAAAAGACTGATGTGTTGGACTCGCATTGTTGACTACTTCACTGTAGTGCTTGATTTGCTGGAATCAAAGAAACCTTTTCCACCACAAATTTAATAAATATTTTTCTCATCTTTATGTTTCACCAGGTGTTCAAATCCAGTTACCAGGGAAAGCAACTACTGGACAGACTACTTATGCCCTGTCACAGTCTGCTTCCAAGTTCACACCAGGGTCTGTTTCAAATGCATGTGGTCCAACAACCTTCACCACTACCACTGGACTGGTCCCAGCAACAAGTTTAAATGCCATCACTAGTTGTTCTTCCCAGCTTGTCTCTCATGGATCAGTCAGCACCAGCTCTCACCTCCAGGGAATCCCGGCATCCTCCTTGATGTCACAAACAGGCTGTTATACATCCATAAACACTGCTGCTGCTCAGCCAAAGGGAAACATGATAAAGAATGATGTTAATATCCCAGGAAGCGTAGTGTCCATCACCACTCCTGTTCAGACAGCTACTACTGTGGAGAGTAGGCCAGACCGAACTTCCACACTCACTCTTGATTGTCAGAGGAGTATCAGTGAAGAAACCACTTCCTCCTCCTCCTTCTCTTCATCTCAGTTTGCTCGCAATAAAACCCAACTCCCTCTCTCCTCTGCAACAACCACCTGTACCCCATTCACCACCTCTGCAACCAGCACAATCCAGCAGAGAATAGTCATTAACACCTCTACGCCACTTGCTGCTGGCACACAAATTCTCCTCAACAATGCACGCTTTGTAGTCCCTCCCCAGGGTTTGGCTCCAGGCAGCCACGTCCTTATCATCTCTAGCCCTGCACAACAAGTGCCTCCTGCCAGTCCTACAAGCACTGGACCATCAGTACCTTCTCAAGGTGCAAGCCATGCCATGGTAGCCCCCAGGGCGCCAGTTTTACCCCAACCCCCAGCCAGGCTGCCTGGTGTCACAGCTGTAAGTTCTCCCTTTGTGGCAAGCACCCCTGCTGTCGTTCCACCGTTGCTGGCAACCACTCCTAATGTCTTGTCACTAAAACTAACAGGAACACCTGGCCTGGGCTCAAATTTGTTACCCAGTAAAACAAATGTAGTATCGGCACTTCCTAGGTTGCCAACTGCACACGTGGGTAACTTTGCGTTACCTCCAGTAGGTACATCCACTCTGGTCTCCCCTACAGCAAGGTTAGACAGTGTACCAACTGTACCAGTGTTAACAAGTGCCCCTTGTCTTGGATCAGCACAGGGCACAGTCAGACTAGCTGCCACTACACAAGCAAAATGTTTATCAACCATTTCACCTGTAGTAGCACCCCCCTTGGCCAGATTGTCGGGACCTCTGTCATTGCCTGTAGTACCCAGGCCATCAGCTGTTACCCTACCCAGCCCTGTTATACCAGTTCCTGCACCCCTCTCTTCGCCAGTAGCACCAGTAATAGCAGACACACCAGCTTTGCATGGTTCTCTTCCTACCCAGCATGTGATTGCAGTGACAACCCTAGGCATACAGCCTCAGCAGACAGCTGTCCGATTTGCAGCACCGACCACCGCTCAACCACAGGTTTTAATGCATTCAGGGCTGAGCAACACATCAATCAAAAAACAGACCCCACTCGTGCAAACAGTGCCTGCTGGCACACGGACACAGGTCTTGCCAACTGTGGCTGTTCCACCAATCATCAGTGGAGTCTCTAGAATGCAGGCACTGCCTGTTGCTACTGTTCCACCCATCGGAAGCACTGTCAACACATTTGAAACAGCAACTGTGGAGACCACATCTTCATCCAGCACAACTGTAATAATCACTCCAGGTCAAACAATCCCATCGAGTAAAACGAACACCACCATCCATCCACCTGTTGTACTGACCAATCAGACACTTGGAAAACACTCTGTGGGGACCTCAGCCCTGGGTCTGCATACAAGTGTAGCTTCCAAGATGCTCATTAGTCCCGATGGGGCTGTTTTGAGCACTGTTCAGCGGCCGGTCAGTTCAGCAGAGCTGACTGAACCTCGGGATGCACTGGTGATTTGTACCAACAGTTCCACTGGAGCACTACAAACACATGATTCCTCTTTACAGCCTTCAACGGCAGACACAAAGTGAACCAATTAAAGTGGAGTGTGAAAGCTCAGACACCACTTTTCAGCTGCTTAGTTTTAGCAGGGTTCACATATTTTTGCTTGTTTTAATCCTGGTTAAAGAACTACATTTTCAGCTTTAGTTTGACTCCTAACTTAAACTTATGCTACATTAGGTTTCATCCTCTGATTTAATTGTCTTACATGTAAACCTGCTCAGTCAGACATGGTGAAAAATGTATACTGTGAAGAGTTTCTGGAGGGGGACACTACTAAGGTTGCCCTGATTTCAAATGTGTAGACCCTTCCTTGAGTAATTACAAGTGTTATAACCAATTGATACAACAGGAAGGTAGATGAAATAGATTTCAAGTTGAGCTTTAGCAGTTTAGCATTTCAGTCCCAGTATTGTTTACGATTTATCATTACAACTTGCTCTACTTTTGTCTGTCAGTTTGGAAAGAAAAGAAAGGAAAAATCCATCAGCATCCAGTCTGTCATGTCCTTATTTTCAACTAGTAACTATTTGAAAGAGGCATTTTACTTTTTAGAAATAAACTACTAGAGAAATTTGTACTACATATTTGAGCCAATATAAATGTTTTAAAGTCACATTTATTTATTTTTACCATATAGATTTTTTTCCCCCCCAAAAAATAAAAAAAATTACTAGGTACATTTTCATGGAACAATTCTGGACGATACTGCATGGAAATAAACAATGCAACTGTCCCAAACAAGCGTGTCTGCTTTCTTATCCTCAGAAATGTGCAATAATAGTGTTTTACAGTTTATTGAAACAAGCTATAGTATTAAAGCTGTGTTCATTTTTGTAGTTTTTAATTTTACAAAGTGAGAGATACAGTAGTTTAACCTATATTTGGCTACAATGCGCTATATTGCTAGGGACATAAGATTATATATTTTCAAACAGCAAGGTGAGCTTGGAGTTCCTTCTTCATTGTCTTTCTTTGCCTCTTCCATCTTCAGCCACAGTGCTTCAGGGGGAATACGGAGGTGGCAAAGGCCCAGAGGAAATCTTCTCATAGGCTGGAGGTGCATTAGGAACCTGTAGAGAAGTGGAACAACAACAAAAATGAAAGCTACAGTTCAGTTATATGTGAATAACATGTTTATGCAGCGTTGAAAAGTGAAGCCAAAGTTTATTTCCCTAGGGACGTGTCATAACAACAAATGCAAAATGTCAATTTTTCACACACGGGATTCCACATGATATTTGAAAGACCGCTGCTCTGATCCTCCTTTCACTTTTCCACCATACACACACCTCCTCTGGGAATTAAACATTTTTATACCTCCCTCCAGTCTGGTGACATAATCCTTGCTTCAGGCATCCACAGCTTTTGCTTTCACGTGCTCTACATCATGTTTCAAAGCTCTGAGGCTCTGTGTGGAATATCAGGTTGCACAAAATTTAAATGAAATACCTACTGATTTGTGATTTTTTTTTTGGGCGGGGCATTACTATATCCTGTATATGTGGCTATTATTCCTGAAGTAATTGTCTCACCACAGATCGGAAGCTGCCAAAATCAGTAAGAGCCATCTTGTTTTCTGCTGGAGATCCTGCCTCCGAGTACTGGCTTCCTGTATAACCTGATGATCCTGATCTGGGGCTCTGCAAGTTACAGAAATGTGTACGAGGGTTTGTGATGAAACAAAATGAGAACATAGTGATACAGGCTGGGAAAAGATGGGTACAAACTGAACACATGATGCTCTTTGAAATAGGGTGAACTGAATTTTCATTTTGACATTTTACAGATGTTCACCAACAACAAATCAGAATAACATAAATCAGTTATAAAGTGTGATGGTCTCACTCTGATAAGTTTGTAGCCACTCCTTTTCTTGAAGTACCAGCAGCCCAGGATGAGAAGTGCTGCAAGGATGACAACCAGCAGAGCTATGCCCACTGCCCTGTGGTCCACAACACAATTCAAATTGAGAAAAACTTTTCTTTGCACATGGGTTTTAAAGTGTTCACAACAATACAAATTTGGGCACAGCAGTAGCTTAATAGCAATGATTTTAAGATGACAATAGACACATACTCCTCAGCTCTGACGTTTCCTCGCCTGCTGCTGGCAAAATAAACGTTGAAGTCCCCACGAGGCATGCCGTGTGTACGATTACACAACATCAAGCTGAAAGTCAACAAGGGATAATTTTATAAGGAACAAATAGACAATACGCTCACATGACTAACTATTTAAACCCATTGTAGCCTATATAGCCATATAATAATTGAAAAAACGACTATGATGTGAGGTACTGCTTTGATATTAAGGTCAAGGTCAAATTTATTTATATAGCACGTTTCAAACAGCCGATGCTGCACAAAGTGCTTAACAATATAAAAATGGCATTAAAAAGCAACAATGTAATACAATAATAACAATAAAAAACAATAATAGGACAATAAAAGAATTAAAACAATAACTAAACTAATTCAAATAAGACCAAAATGCTTGGGTCATAGTGTGTTAAAAGCCAGGGCATAGAAATGTGTCTTTAGTAATGATTTAAATTGCTCAAGTGTTTGTGCAGATCTAATATTTAAGGGGAGACTATTCCAAAGTCTGGGACCTGCCACAGAGAAGGATCTATTACCACGGGATTTGAGATTAGTCCGTGGGATGGCCAACATTAGTTTTGAGCTAGACCTCGTGGTTTTTCCTGGAGCATAGGCAGAGAGGAGCTCAGACAGGTAAGGAGGGGCTCGGGCATGAAGTGACTTAAAAACAAAAAGTAAAAGTTTAAATTGGATCCTGTAGGAGACAGGAAGCCAGTGTAAAGAAGCTAAAACTGGGGTTATATGCTCTCTCCGTTTGGTACCAGTTAGCAGGCGAGCAGCAGCAGTTTGAACCATCTGAAGACGATGGATGGTGGCCTGATCTAGACCATAATACAATGAATTGCAGTAGTCTAATATTATCCCAGAGGGAGGTCCATAAACTGCCAAACAAATAGTCTGGACACAATTAAATGCCATAAAGCTTAGCTCTGCACTGTGAAATCATTATTATCTACCCGCATGCAAATTCTTTAAGTGAAAATATTATATTGTACCTAATCTTGATAAGGTAAAATTAAGTTCAGATAGTCCTCACTCTTTAATAGCCTGTAATGTAAAGCCAGTATGTCTTGATACAATTATTAAAACTTTTAAAATAACACAAAAGTGTAACTGTGTAGGGGTTCCAAGCTTTGGACCACTTACTTTTTCCACTCTGTGTCTGTCCAGTGTATACACCGGACTTAGCTGCATCTCTTCTATCTGTCTATTCTCTCTGTCTTTGTGTTGACTGATGCTATCTTACAGACTTTAAGTGCACATCAATACAAATCACATATATATTATGTAGATACAATGGAAATCGACTGCTACTAAGGTTGTCTTTGAGCATTCTACATCTGTGCAGTGAAATGAACCTTATCAAGAAGACCCTAATTAGCATTTCCTTAATTCACATTAATGTCATGTCAAATTGAGCCTTTCATAAAAGCGCAATGCCCCACATGCCTTTAACAAGCCTTCTTTTTATAGAAAAGTAAGACAAACAGAAAAACCAGCTACCTTACCGAGTTTGAGAGAAAGGATTCAGAAAGCAGCTCTTCTGGTTGGTTTGGCTTCTCAGAAAGATTGGGTCCACAGAGCGCTGTGTTTCTTCACTCCTCAAATATCTTAACTCAGTGTGCTGGAGAGCAGAGAGGGGCAAAAACCCCTCATGACCGTCACGGGTTAGAGACTCATGGTTAAACCCATTGAAGCGGAGTAATTACCGTGAAACCCTACGGCAACATTATTATCCACTCGTGAAACTACAGGCGTCAGCTGCTGGCCTTTCATATGACTGTGTGTGTGTTTGTGTGTGTATACCAACTTCATTATTATTGATAAATATCCTAATGAAATTATATAGATATAAGGAAAGGAATACAAAAATTCAATACAATACCAGGCTAAGTATCTCAATGATATCACGCCTTTATCATAAAAGATAAAATACCTTCAAATTACCACAATGTAATATAAGAATTTCATAAATACTATAAACCTAAACAGTAATTTCAGTCATAAAGTCTAACAAACAAACAAACAAACAACAAAAGGAAACATTTCTGATCCCAGTATCACTGTTTTAGATTTGTGAGGAGTATTTGCCTGGATTATCTCAGCTCCTAAACAAAACAAAACTTCTGCTCAAGTAATTTCTTCATCTGCTGTAGTGCAAAGATACAATATTATGCAAAAGTCTTGAGCTATTACTCTTTTTTTTCTTTTTCTTTTTAATGTTTTGCTTCCAGACTTTCTTGCGATTTTCAAAGAAGTACTCTTAAAGAATAGTTCTCCAGTTTTCTGAAGGTGTTTTGACTTATTTTTAGTTTAGTCTTTGTACCTAACAATTTAAATAGGAATGTTTTTTTCTTTAACCCACAAATCATCAAGTGTAAAAAAGGCACCTACGCCAATGAACCAATTTTGTGTGGACATGTTACAGACAACCAATTTTAAATTGTACCTTTTTGTGCACTTTTTTACTTGCAGCCTGTCACAAAAGCACATAACTTGTTCTCATTTCTAAAAACAAATGAATCTAAAAAAAAAAAAACCCAAACAAACACCAAAGATAACACAGTGTGACAGCCGCAAAACAGCATTTTTGCATTAAAAAGGGGACTCCCAAAGAGCTCTTAGCTAAAAGCTTGGCATATCTCAGTGTGGTGTGCAGGACAAATGAAGAATTGATAGGCCTGAAAAGCTATCTACAGCAGATGAGCAGTATTTGAAAGGTATGTCCTTGAGAAATGGGAAAAATCCAGCAAAGACTTGAGACAGGACCTGATGATGCATCTGGTCCTTCAGTTGACCCATCTACTGTTCACTGAAACCTCATCAGAAATGGTCTCAGGTGAAGGGTGGCTGTCAAGAAGGCATTCAAGAAGTGAGCTAGGGAGAAAAGGCTGAAGTATGCCAAATTACACAAGAACAGGACTGAAAAATCAGTGACAGCAGGTCTCATGGAGTGATGAATCCAAATGTGAAACCTTTGTTTCAAATAGTCATCAATATGTAAGGTTAGAAGAGAGGTACAATAGTGAGTGTTTGCAGCCATCTGTAAAACACAGTGGATGCTCTGTCATGGTTTAGGTCTGCATTTTGGCCAGTGGTGAATTAATTTTGCCTAATATATGTTAGCATATTTCAATAAACTGGTGAAAATATATCAAATTTTCCTAACAAAATATAAAGAAATGATGGTTGGCTAAAAAAAAAAACCCTTCACAGTTTAAATCTAAAAAGTAATTTTTTTAAAGATATATAATTAAAGGTAAAATGTGAGCTAAACGCTTTCTGTGTTTTCTACGTTCTTTCTGTGTCTGTGTGAGTTCTCTCTGGGTATTCTGGCTTCCTCCCACAGTCCAAAGTGGGGTTAGGCTAAATGGTGATCCTAAATTGCTCATATGGGTGCAAATGTGAGTGTGAATGGTTGTCTGACTGGCACACTTGTCCCTGGAGTGGAATAAATAGATGGATGGATAGTAAATATGTTCTTCCTGCTTTGTAATTATGATAAAATGTATTTTAAAACTTCTTTTTTTCTTATTGTTTTTACAGAAAAGAAGATGGAAAATAAAAGAGGACTCATTCCACTGGCCCATTCTCAATTATACAGTAGTTGTTACTGTTTTGGGTTTGTTTTCATAAGTCAAACTGCTGCTGGAGGGATCTTTTTTTTGTCTCACTAAATGAAAACAGAAACTTTGATAGTTTTAGAGAGAGACAGAGAGGTTGTGGGGAGTGACGCAGGGGAGGCTGTTTGTTTTAATCTGGGATAACTTGACTTTTCCTCCACAAGAGGGAGACCAAATCCTGTTTATGAAACGAAATCTTAATGTGTCTCAAACCGAAGCTAAATGGTTTACTGCTGGCCTATTATGTAGCGTTGTAATGTAGTGTGAATAAATGTTTTAATATACTCACGTGTCCCCAAACCGCTACAGTCCTAATTAGTTTGGGTCATGTGAGAACATTTTAAAGAGGGAGCAGTGAATTTTGTAGCTCTGGGCAAGCTATATATATATATATATATATATATA